ATATCACCATTAAAACAGGCACACAGAATGAAAGCCAGGTATTCCTTTGTTCAGGGTCCCTGAAGGAGACACCCAACTCCATCTGCCATTATATTGCTGCACCATTATAAAAATTCTTAAAGGAAGCAGAGTCTAGAACTCTGCTATGGGAAACCCTGGATCAAGGCAGTGAGGGAAACTTGTCTGACATGTGAGTGTCATGAAGCTTGTCTCAGTATGAGTGTGTGGGAGTCAGGTGGGGCACCCATCAGCTCATTGGAGCTGCTTGTGGTGAAGGGGCTTCAGTCCCAGTAGCAAAAGCCTAAGGTGATGCGAGTGTGATTGCCAGAGTGGCTCATGGGCAGCCAAAGAGGAATGCTTCCTTAGCAAACTGTGACACTACTGATCTTCTGTCACAATATTTAAGGCTTATTCTGTTTTTCTGCAAGTAAAATCCTGTTGAGTAACAAATGTTTCTATCTTGCATAGAAAGCTGCAAATGAGGTAAAATGGTTGATGAAGCCAAACGCCAGATGACGTTACCTTCAGTATCCTATCAAAGGACACATACAGCTATTGTTTAAATAACCTTTGAATTTTCAACATTCTGAACAGTTTTTGTAGCCCTCAAGTTTGGCCTAAATGAAGCAGCCTTACTTGATCTTCAAGGACTTCCTGAACTCTAGAAATGACTGTGTTCTTCTTAGTATTATTATCCACTGAAGAATTACCATGCTCAAATCTTCTTTCACAAGGATTCTGGTGAGTGGGGTGCAAAGACCAAAGAACATGCAATTCCTAGATCAAACAGCTTCTTTAATATGCTGTGAAAGAAACCCCAAAATTCAACAGGGATCAGAGTTTGGCCCAAGTCTCATTGCTGTGGAGATGGCAGTAGGTGAATATTATACATGTTACATGCATGCAGCATATTTGATTGCCAAAGGTAATGATTATTCCCTTTCAGAAAAAGAAGAGAATCAGTAGTTCTGAATTTTGTATTAGCCTGTTATGAAGCAAATTTTGTTAGCAAAGTTAGCATCACAGCATATGGGTATTTATAGTATGTTAATACTTAAAAGCTTCTATTAACTGTACATGAGCAGTTTTGTTATGTTATATACCAGCACAGCAAGACAGAAGAAATAGGATGAGACTACAAAACTAGTCTAAGTGAAAAGCCACCATTTCCTCATCTACTTCAAGAAGCTAGAAGATGTCAACTATCAGCAAAAGGTTTTCTTTCAACTCTTACTTAAAAAACTTATTCCCCAGAGTAAAATATATAAATAAATTTGGTTATTTGTCCTAAGGGAATAGGAAAAACTGAGGAGCTAAAATTTCAAGAGTTTCTCTCTGCAATAAAGTCCCAGGATCTAGGAGAGCTGAACTGCACTTTCAGAAAGCTGTAGTTCAGAAATCAAATAGGTCTTTTCTGGTTTACTTTTCATTTTGATGAGCCACCTAAGCATCCTGTATGTATCCGGAGTTGTAAAATACAAGTAGTTTAGATTCAAACTAGCTTATGCAGCCTCCAAAAATTAGTCCTAAATATCAGAAAGGAAAAAAAATACAGATATATCTGAACCACTAGCATCTTTGCATGGCAACACCTATTTAGAAGTACTTCAAATAAAGTATATGAATACAGAAAAGACACAGGAATAACAAAGGTACTGAAGGTATATTATTTCAGCTTTACTTGTCATGCTTTATTAATAGCCAATGTTAAAGAAGCATTTCAACTAATTTAATAAAACAGCCATTATATACCTTTAAAGTGAGACCAGAAAGTACCTGGGCTAAGTATCTTTAGGTCTAAGTGCTCCATATATTGTGCTCTGCTGTCACTTCCATAACACTCATTAGGATATCAGTGACATTTGGATGCATGACTGGTAGGTCACCCAGAGCAATCCATCAGCTGCTTGCTCTCAGCTGATAGCAAACTAGCACTAGCTTTGTTATCCTCTGCAGTTGGGCCTTGTATACTTGTAAACAAGTATAATGTTGTAGAACAAAAAGAACATTTTTAACTTACAGGAGCTGAAATGAATACAATTTACGTATTTCACCTCAAACTCTGTTCAAAAGTCAACGTGGTAACAGTTTGAAAACTGAACGCTATTTTTCCATAGAAAAGAAGGAACTCACTAAATAAGCATATTTTAATAGTCCAGGGCTGTTTCAAACAGCAGCATATCAAATCAAAAAGCACTGGGTATGCAAAATGTCAATGAAGCTCTGTAGAAGTAGTTTTACCTCACAATGTGATCATGTTTTACAAGCTACTCAGACCTCTGCCTTTTCCTATACATTAAAAATTTTGAAGTTTTCCGTAACACGGCTACTGAAGATTCATAAATCAAATAAAATACAAGCTGAAGAGGAAAGCTGGCATGAAAAAGAAACTTACCTGGTATTACATAAATGGAGCATACAAGTTGTAGGTTTATTTTAAACTGATAACATCTTGGAATCTTGAAATATTAAAGTATTTTTAAAATCTTCTCATTGTAGAGTATAAAGCAAAAATGTTGGCACGCACATTTTATTATAATTATTTGATCAGACTAATGATGTCATTTACAACTGTAACTAATTCTGAAATTACTTTTATTATAAAAATATTCTGAGAATAAACCAAAGTTTTCATGTGTGATACCTGCAATTTTAATACCATGGAAGTAAAAATACAAAATCCTACTTAAAGACATACTAAAATCTATTTAAAGACATACTAAAACATAGCTCACAGAGGACACAAAACATACAAAAAAATTATGAAACACTAATTTTGCTTAGCTTTCAGTAGTAAAAGGGACAGTAATTATTCATGTACTGCAAAAATGTTTTAGCATACAATACTCCTCAACCAAATATTTTCAGTGTATTAAATGTAGCCCAAGAGCTCACTGTAATGCCACTGCCATTGACACCTGCACATAAAACAACTGCCTGCCCAAATGAGAACACCACAAAATAATACCCTCCAAAAGACTTAATGCGTTCATCTAATCAGGGCATGTATTTTCAGTGACAATATGCAATATCTGCATCTTATTTACGCATCGTATACTGCTGCTGAGCTGAATTTTATGAAAATTTAATCCAACAGATTTCAAAGATTATTTACTTTTAATCATACTGCCAACATTTATGAGAAATTTTTGGAGAAATTAGGTTTCTTGTTTTAATCATTTAAACTTAATTTTTGTAAAATATTCTGCTTGATGTAAAACCAACAAAAAAAAAAAAGAGGTTTTCATCCCCCTAGGACTTCACTACTTCTTGAATTTCCAATTAAAGGATGTGTTTCACAAGTAAAACTGTTACAGCAGCACCCCTAAGACCAAGGATAACTGCAAATCTGAAGGTACTTTAGTACTTCTACTCTTCGTTTTTCTACTCTTAATCTTATTTCTTCTTCTGGCTCTCTGGTCATTCCAGTCTAACCAGTCTATTTAGAGATCAATGTTCTTCCAATGTAACTTGGCTTGTGCTATGGAGAATCCTTTGCTTCTCTTGTTTCTCCGGAACAGCACTCTGACAATGGAGTTTGCTGGGGCCAACACTTATGTAATGAAGTAAGTGTAGTTCTCAATAGAAATCATGAAGAAAACCTTGGCCAAATTAGTTCTTTTGCAGGTTATACAATTAAAAAGAACAAAACAAAAAACAAACAGGGGAATCAACTCTCAGTACCAACTCACTCCTTCTAGGCCTCAGTGGTAGTTCTCATGTGGCAATATGCTACTTCTATACCCTGTATTAAGAACAGAAAACTCTCCTCACTGAAAAACTTAGCAATTTATCCCAGGTGATGCTGCTTGCTAACATTCTGGAGCACCAATTAACAGAAAATCTTTTTCCAAGGAGAGAGGGAATTCATTACAGATGCATATACATGCATACACACACACACACACACACACACATATATACATATTACAGTAGAAAAAAAAAGCATTTATCAGAAAATACCAAAATACAACACAAAATCATGAAGTACTTTCTCTTCAATTTCTACTATTGCAGGAAGCAAACTGCCAAGCTGGAATCACTGATAGCATTCATAATGAAATCAATTGCAAATTTCAGGTATAGCTGATTATCTCCTAAAGAAAAAATGGTGTTAAAAATTAAAGTGGATTGTTCCACTGCAATAAAATGCGTCATTTTTTGTGGCAAAACAAAGCAACTGAATTCTCTGACAAGGACAAAATAGTTCCTCTGAAAAAGTTCACAGAATCACAGAAGCATCCTGCTTTATGCAACCAGACTATGTCCATGCTCACTAAGTCAGGGAAATGTTTTGTTTATTTGTATTGTTGCCTTTTTTTTAATATCAAGTTGCTTCAAAAGAGCCATAGTACTTAATATGAAACAAGGTAAGTGCAGATTATCTTCTTTGTTTGCTTTATTATGCAAGTCAAGGTTACCCATCATCCTGATAATGATTTTAATGATATTTTATGACTCATAATTTAGACTCAGTTTAGTTTGTTGTTCAGTTTTTTGGGGGGGCAGGGGGAGTGCGAGGAAGGTGAGGGAGGCTGGGTTGGTTTTAAGTTTGAGGGAGGGGAGAAAGGAAGTGGGGTGGGGGAAATAACTTTGAGTTTGATACTTATTACTGGTATGGTTAGAAACAATCACAAATGGATCATCCACCTCAAATTACCTGGATTCACCTAGCTTTTCAACCAAAAGTGGGACAAAATGAAGTGATTCTCTCTGAATCTATCCTCTGTCCCACTACCTCACTGAGTTCAGTTCAGGAGTAAGATTTTTAAGACCTGAAGACTTAAAGCGTTTCCTAATCTGGGGGTTAATCACTACAGCTTAAAGATCTGTTTTATTACTATTAAACACTTCAGTATTTAACCTAAAAAACAGACTATTCATAGCTATAAATAGACAGAAAATAGTGAGATTGGGAAATAAAAAAAAAAAAAAGTAATGAAGGACATAAAGTTAGGTTTTTCAAGGTGAAAAGCAGAGAAAAACAGCTCTCAACTGACCTCTTTGTCTGGTGTTAAAGTGCCTTCATGATTCTGATCTGTAAATGAAGATGTCCTGATTCTGTTGCCAGTTGATGGAGGTGATCTGGAAGGGACCTATAGAGAGATCATGTATACAACAAGTAATACTATTAACTCCAGAACTAATTTTTCTGTATCATAATTTACTTCAAGAATTACTAACTATATCATCCCAGTGAAACCTAGTCTAGATCTTTTTAAAGAAAACAACTGTCTGTGACAAGTTCTACCTTCTGTAGAGGAAAATGTGTCCTGAATCAGCCACAAGAACAAACAACAAAATGGCTTATTTTCATTATTTCTGACTATGGTCCTATTAGACCATATTTGAAAAACAAGCCTTCGAATATTTTAGGAATATATTACAGCTGCTTGAGGTTTAAAAGTTTAGTGATTTGATAGGGATTCAAGTATTTAGAAGTGAACAGAATCTGATCAAGAACTTTGAAAATTAACAACAAAAAATGACACTAAGAAAATTTATGAACTTTAAATTTGTGGTATTTATAACACTGAATCTAAACAATGAAAAAGGGGCAAGAAATTGCTATATATTTTGTTGTCTATATGTACTTGTTGTTCCTATCAAAACTAAACATCTATTCACAGGAATTTTACAACTTCATTCAAACTGAGATTCTAAAAACTCACACCAGCTCAAAGAAACTACCTTGCCAGCCTCATCATTCAAACTTCAAATATAAAATTTCAGTATAAATGTAATGAGAAGTAAAGTATCAACAAGCAGATCTATACTAAAGAGGGCATTTAGCAAAATTTCTCATGGGGTATTGTGAAATGCTGGAAGGAAATATTTCAGGCATGTGGCAGGAGGAAGAGGAAGGTCAGGCCTTGCTTTTGATGAGGTGATGCCTTCCCGCACAGACCCCATCCCTCTGGACCTGTATCCCAGTCCTGCAGTGGCTGCCAACACCTGGCACACCTGAGGAAATGTGCCATACTCTGCCCCTGGAGCCCAAATCCAGGCCCAGAGTGGTCCGATGACCACAAGTTCCACCTGCAGGAAGGGCCCAGGGGTACTTCACCCAGGATATAAGGCAAGCACATGCATGTTTTGACCCTACCTCTTCTTGAAATTGCTCTCAGCTGAACAGGTCTGGAACCAAGAGTGGTAGCTGTATTTGTTCTTTTTTATATCAAAACTATTCTAAAATCAGTCATAGCTACAGGTCTGAAGAGGTAGGCCAATGTCTCAACTTGAAAATACTATTCAAAAGTCAAACAGCTTACCTAGTACCAAATAGCTATTCATCACAAAAGCTTTATGTTCTGCTGAAAACAATCATACCAAAGTATTCATAGGATTCGTACAAAACCTAACCTACTAATGCTGACAGCCTACTCTTCTTTTATTCCTACCCTCAATCTAATGCCAGGGTTTTAAAGATTATTTGATAATCAATTTCCTTCTGTTTGGTGAGGGCCAGAAACATTCAAGGACACTCTGTCACTGTTTAGAAGCAGTATGAACACATCTCTATGGTTCTACAGTTCCCACTGCTGCATTCAGACTTCCTGTCAATTTACAGTCATTTCAGTAGCACTAAGGTTTGCAGCACAAATATTCATTGATCTTAGGCAAAACCAAAAAGAGCTGAAACAGGATAGTACAGGTAAATTGGAAGGGTTCAACTTCCTGACCAGCTCAGGGTTGACTAAAAGTTAAAGCAGGGCTTTAAGGGCACTGTCCATGCCCCTCCAGCACTAACAGGCAGGGGTGAGGAAGGCACCAATCACGTCTCCAGGAAGCCTATTCCATGTTTTGGCCACCCTCTGGTAAAAAGTGTTTCCTTATGTAAGTCCAAATCTGCCATGACAGACACAGTTTGAGTTATTCCTGCATGTTCTGGCACTGTGTACCAGGGAAAAGATCTCAGTACCTCCCTCTCTACTTCTCCTCCTCAGGAAGCTGTAGGGAGCAGTGAGGTCACCCCTCAGCCTCCTCCTCCTGTCCAAACCAGACAAGCCCAGTGCCCTCAGCGCTCCCCAGAGCACATTCCTGCCAGCCCCTTCCCCTGCTTTGGTGCCCTTCTCAGCACATGCTCAAGGACCTTCACATCCTTTTCAAACAGTGGGGCCCAGCACTGCACCCAGTGCTCGAGGTGAGGCTGCACCAGCGCTGAATTCAGTGGGATAATCACCTCTCTTGGCTGGCTGCTGATGCTGTGTTTGATGCACCCCAGGATGAGGTTTGCTCCCTTGGCTGCCAGGGCACACACACTGCTGATCCCATTGATCTTCCAGCCAGCCAGCACCCCCAAACCCCCTTCTGCAGGGCTGCTCTCCAGCTATTCCTCTCCCACTTCAGACTTGTGTCTGGAATTATTCCATCCAGGTGCAGGATCCAGCATTTGGTTGGTCTTGCTCAGCTTCATGTCACTGGTGACTGCTCACTATTCCAATCAATCCAGATTGGATTGCCTCTGCAAGGCAAAGCCTCTTATCCCATGGGAGAGTCAGCAGCACTTCCCAGTTTGGTATCACCTAACTGTCTGCACATTCACTGCAGCCTCCAGATCACTGATGAGGAGCCTGAACAGAGCTGCCTCTAGACCTGAGCTCTGAGGAACACCACAGGTAACTGGTCACCAGCCACATGTCCTGTTTGCTGCCATAATTTGAGCGCTGCTCTTCAACCAGTTCTTCACCCAGTGCACTGCATACCTGCTCATCCCACTGTTGGAAAACTTGCCTGGAAGAAACAGTGGGAAGGACAGTACCAAAACCCTTTATAGAACTCAGAAAAACTACATCCACCACCTTCCCTTTGTCTACCAGGCAGGTGAACTTGCTGCAGAAGGTTTTTTAAACAGAATTCTCCCTTTGTGAACCCACACTGACTGTCTGATAATTGCACTGTTCTTTACATGTCTTTCAACAGCATACAGTATGATTTTCTTAATAATTTTTCCCGGTTCTGAGGTTAACTCTGTAGTTTCCTGTATATTCCCTCAAGCCCTTCCAGTAACCTGGAATAACACTGGCAAGCTCAGTCAGCAGGGACCTCCCCATATTGCCAGGATGGCTGAGAGGGGTCCTACCCATAACATCTCCTAGCTCCTTCAGTATCCTGGGTTGAATCCCACGGGCCCCATGAACTTATAAACATTCATTCAACTGACACAACTCGTCTGTTAAAATTTCCGTGTTCACAAATGAAAAGTTAATGCTCCTGCAGCCATGGTCCTCTGACTCAGGAGCAGGCAGACCAAGGTCTATCAGTACCATTAAAAACTGAGGCAAAGAAAGTAGCACCTGTCTCCATTTTTTCTTCATCCCTATTTGTCAGGTGACAATCTTGGACAAGTAGCAGTTTAAGACATTGGTAATTGCAACAGCGCTTTTTTCCACCCTGTCAGCCATCAGAAAGAGATGTGTTCCCCAGACTGTGAGGGACAGCTATGCTCAATTTGACAGATGACATCAGTCAGTAACCATTCATATGAAAGAGGAAGGCCTACAAACACCTCCTCAGAAAAGGTTATATTTCTCAAGTTATACTTGAGAAATTTTACCTCCAGTTTTACACTAGTCTTAAATTAGTAAATTTAGTCTCGGACACTACAAACCAAAGTACAAATGTGAAGTTCTAGGTCTCAAAGTAAGGGATATAAGTAGAGCATAAAGGGTATAGAACATAGTGAGTGAAGCCTCTCTACAACAGGGTGTAGGGAAAAAAAAGAGCAAAAATTAATGCAAACATGAGTTTCATAAACTAAGAAATTGTAAGTTAGGAAAATTTGGTCTGAAAATGTTTTGCCAGGAAGGAATGCATTTTGACAATTGGAATTACTGATCTGAATAAAAGCAAATGAAAAAAGCATATCCCACACTTTTTGCAAGACTACAGTATATTTTATAAACCTCAAAACCTCACTTCTTCCTTCAGACTCTGTTTTCAAATGAGATACAAGAAGTGAGAAGAAAAATTTAGTTTACTCCTAAGATAAAATTTAACTATTTCCCCCTAGTGTTACTTGACAGCAACTGAGAAGTAAGAAACATTGCAAGACAACTATTTCACATGAAATAAAATTGTTTTAATGTCTTGTAATTTCTTGCTTCTGCCTTTCCATTTATGTCAACCCTTGAGTTACATAATCTGCTCTGTCCACAGTACAGCAGACTAGGCCTATAGACTAGGTATAATTTGCTATAAACACTCATATCAGGTTTCAGAGTATTTGTCAAAACTAATTTTTCAAGAGCCAGATAAAGACTAAAGTATATTATGCTGTTGGGTGCATATATGCATGTAAGCCCATATTTATTCAGTAGAATGATTTTCAGAGAGTATCAACTCTTGAACACAAGCATGGAGCATCCCGAACAAAGCAGATTACAATATCCTGACCTAAGTTGATTACAATGCTGTGTGAAAGGTATCATAATTTAGCTGCTGCACACTGAAAACAGTAAACTCTGCAGATCAATCTCTTTTACACTGCACTGAAAGCTCACCACACATGGCAATTAAGAGAGCACTCTAAACTTAACTAACACAATCATACTTCACGAACTAGAGAAGGCACAGAATGAATACTATGGAAGGCCTTAAAGTAGGACTCAACAAGCTACACAAAACTTCACAAGAGATCCATTTCTAAAAATCTTCCCTCTATTTCACAAATGTGTGATTCAAATAATAGAACATAACTGTCAGCAGTTTTGAAACCATGGTCTAATACTGGGACTATGCAGTGCCAAATCTCCCAGTGGTTCAAATTACATGCAGATCAAGCCCAAGCAACTAATCACCTACTTGTCAAATTAATTACATTACCTGTCTCTAGCTTAACATTCACAGGATTCAGAGTTTATATTAGCTTTTATACTTTTAGATTCCAAGATACACGGATACTTAACCTAGAATGAGACACAGGCAGCCATTATCAGCAGACTTTACCAATAGGATGTTAACTTGCTGAAGTCTTTCTACCCAAAATTATTCTGCTTTGACACATGCATTAAATCATCACAACTTTTTTGGCCACTTTCTCTTACATACTCTGGACATATGTGGTATCTGGTGAGTATTACTATCACTTAAAAACAGCCTTTACTAGAATACGTTTAAAATAACTTAGTGAAAGAAAGTACACACAAGAGGAAAATGGCCAATGAAATTATTACTAGAACAAATAAATAAGTGCCTTGTTCTCACATTTATACTATATTTTTAATTAATTTACAGTTTAAAAAATGCAAAAAATGCAAGAATAAGGTCGAGGTAAGCAAACCAGCCCTCTACAAGATGTTAACAGAAGGGCCATACAGAACTGAAAGAACAAGTATTAAGAGGAGAGAAAAGGACAACTAGGGAACTCAGTGCTGGATTCAATACACGTAAAAGTATCATTACTTTAAATGCTAAGGAAGAAACCCATTTCTGCTTCGTTCTGTTGTACGTTCAGGCAAGAGATGGTTTTTACACTCTCCCACAGGACAGCTATTGTAGAGCGGACAAAACGAAGCACAGCTTCTAGCAGGAGGAGGATGGGTAACCACTTAGATGACGAAGTTCTAGCGAAGCCGCCCGGCGCTGACAGCGATTCCCGCCAGCCGGCCGAGCCCGGAGCCCTGGGTCGGACCGGCCCCGCCGCAGCCGCAGCCGCGGGAGGGTCGCGCCGCGCAGGCCTGGCCGGCCGACCCGCAGGACACCAAGCCCGGCCGGGCGAAGGGCGGCCCTGCCCCGACAGGTGAAAGGCCGTCACCGGCGCCCACAACAGACACGTCTCCCAGCGGCCCCTCCTCGCCGTACCTGCGGTGGGAGGGAGCTCGCACGTCCACCCGCTCCGCGCGGCTGCATCTGCTCCTCGCCAATCTTCTGCTTCAGTTTCTTGAACATGGTGGCGGGAGGGAGAAGGGGATGAGGGCACGGCTCCCGGGCCCGCTGGTCAGGCGGCAAGGGGCGCCCAGGGGGCGGCGGAACAGATCTCCCCCCGCCCCGGCCCGCGGAGCCGCCGCCGCTCCGCCCTCGGACCCCCTCCGCGGGGCACGGGCAGCCGCGACCACTGCGCCTGCGTAGCCAACGTGGAGCCCAGCGCGTCGGCTGGCACGGTGTGCGGCGAGGCACAAACTTCCAAACGCAACGCGCGGCGCTATCCTCCCACAGCCCGGGCGGACGTGCAGCCTGGGCGCCCCGCCTGCGACAGTGCAAAGCGGCATTGCCTGGCCTCACTTGCTCCATCTCTCCCGGAGGGCGAGGGAGGCGATGCCGTCCCGGGAATGTATAGGCGGAGGAGTGATTACTTCTGTCAGGAAGGACGAAAAACAGAGCAGTAAAAGCTGCCGCCTCGCTGCGCCTTTCTGCCGCCGTAGCCGTTTGATTCCGTACCTTCAACCGCGCCACGGAGATGCCTGACTTGCCAGAATGCTGACTCTGAGGGGCTGCGTGCCCTCGCGTAAGGGTCCTCCTGAGTCGGTCGGCGACAGTGTCGAGGACAAGCTTTCACAAGCCGAAGAACCGGACAGCAAGGTAACAAAAAGGTGCTCGGTTCTAAGACTTGTGAAAGCTTCCGACTAAAAAATGCCCAACAGTTGCTTTTTGAAGCTGCCCGGAAACCTATCTGCTAATAAGAAAGTCGCGACGTTTTCCTTTTGAGTAGCCTTCTGTTCGCAAACCTGAGATACACTGTTATAACTAAAGTACCATTGAAGGTGGAAAGACGATGTTTGCTGCTACCGCTACTATTTGCTACTACACGAAACTGTGGCAGAAATGTTCTTGGAGGCTCAAGGTTAAAACCTCTGGCTTTAGATCCCTTGTTGGATGACGTTTGTGCGTGTGTTCAGGGTTGCGAATGAAGACTTTCGTTCGCAGAGGGCTGTGAGCAGTAGCCAGCATTCATTCTCCAACAACGGGACTATTTTGAAATTTACTGTGTTGACAGTGACATTGCATGAAGGCTAAAAAATGCATGGTGCTGTTTGCAAGAAACAATGAACCACGTGTTCTTCTATAAAGCTTCCTACTAGGGAGGCTGTGTGCAATAATCACAAATGCCCAGAGATGTTTTCACTGAAATACACTCCTGAAATCTCTGAGTAATTTGAGGAGGGGGAAAATGGATAGGAAATTATTTTCCCATTTGTTTTACACTGACGAAAAAAATAATCAAGCTAAATATACAGCAAAAATAAATTGCTGGTTTTCCTATTTTTTTTTTTTGCTATATTAAACAAACATAAAAATATGGTTTTATGTTTTAAATAGCAAAAAAAACCTAATTTTTTTTTTTTACAATCTGTTTAGTTGTAGATAAACTGTGACTGGTAGTGACCCGTTTGTTTGTGTGTTCCTGTTAAGACTATATACATACTGTGTGTTCCTGTTAAGACTGTATGCATACTTCAGATGACAGCAGTGACTTGCACATTCTACTGATTTTTCGTGAGAACAACTGTTGACTTCAAACACCTTCAAAAAAGCTAATCTGAACCTACAAGCTGTAATAGCCAGGTAAGTATCTTGAAGATTTGTAGGGTATCTTTCCTGTAGGTTGAGACAGAATTATAGGAAAAAGTCCCCAGAATTAAAAGGACAAAACCATCCGAATAGCAGTCCATAAGGAAATAAGATAAAATGAGCAATTACGTTTATTGCATCCATAAAAATTAAACATTTTCTACCTCAGTGGGGTAGCTTCTGTTTCTTCTAAATATGACATGCAGCAGCATGGTGGTAAAATTCAGAGATTATCAAGTGAGAGGAACATTTCCTGATGAATGCCTTGGGAAGCCCTTTAACCACCTTCAATACATGGTGGTAAAATTCAGAGATTATCAAGTGAGAGGAACATTGCCTGATGAATGCCTTGGGAAACCCTTTAACAACCTTCAATAACCTAATAAATCCATTACCCTCTCATACCTATGTTCTCTATTACAAATGCTAGCTCATATTCTCTTTTTCTGTTCAGATTACTCTTCTGATTTAAACCTAAGTCACTAGATGTAGTATGTGAATTTGATGGACAGATGCATAATTGAAAGGACACTAGCTCCTGTAGGTATCAAATAGAAAAGCACAGCTTTTTTAATCCATTCCTAAAATGTATACAACAGAAAAGAGAGCTCTGTATTATTTCCTTAGAAAATTTAAAGCTTGAAATGGTATATTGTGAGTGTTTTTCATGTACTGATGTTTTTGTAGGACTAAAGGCTGTGTGGAATAGAACAAATCTGAGATGAGAAACTATGACAAAATAAGTAATTTTTTCCTACACTAAATTCTTAATTACTACAGAAAATGGTAAGGGGATTTATTAGTTGAAGCTCTGATAATGGGTTGCACTAACAGTAATCAGATAATCACACGATAATTGGATATTTTCTAGGGGACTTTTTTTACAACAACAAGGTCTTTTGATGTGTCAATTTCAAGGTACTTAATCACCTCCTGTTCTTCACAGGAGATGCCTAACCTGGGTTGTAGAAAGAGATTAAATAATATTTGTATATGTCATTTAATCATATATAGATGAGTGTCATTTAAAAAAATTAATGTAAATTTTTGTGCTTCTGAATTGGGATCTTTTGTGATAGATAGCTATGTGTCTAGTATTGGTCCAATAATACAAAGTGGAATCCCACATGAAGCAGCAGTATCCAAATTCTGAAGATTTGTATGATAACTCTGCAAAACTCTATCATAAGCCTTCTAAATGGGATTTAAATATTTTAGCATCTGAGCAGGTTTGATTGTAACATATTGAAATAAACAAAGTGTTTACTCTAAACCCCACAGAAATCCTGGAGAAATGTCTCAAATTAAATTCTTACACACAGAATGTCAAAATTCCATACTTAACTGAATGATACCTTATTTCTAAAGGGTTGATCTGATCCTAGCAGATTTATTTGCAAAATTAAAAGAAATAGTTAAAAGTGAAGATATGCCCCACCTTTTTTATATTCCTTAAGTACACCAGTTAACTGATTAAAAAAGATAAATATGACATCATGGTACCATCTGCAAAAGCTAAATGCACACTTGCAAAAGTCACTGGTTATGGCAGATAATTAAGAATAAAGGTCTGTTTAAATTCAGTCTATAGCACTCATTAAGGTATTTATTTGGGAAAGGGTATTGAGTAAAAGTCTATTCTTATGCCAGTCTAGATTTTTCTAATTGTCAGCAACAGCAGCCCACACATGCCTGCCATGTCATTCCTTGCCTTTTTTTAACTTCGGTGCTTGTGAGACCATCTCCTTAGTCATTTCTGCAAGGTCAGTCTGCAAAAAACTGACCTGGCAAAAGAGCAAATAATTTCTGCTGACTTACTGTGCTGAGCTGCCCCTGAGAACTAGAGCTGCTGCAAGGGAGATATAGAGAGTCAGGAGCTGGACGGTTTTATGTTGCAAGTTATTTCAGATTGCTCACAAATATTCAGATTGCTCTTCCCTGAGCAATTTGCTTAACTTTAAACTCAAGTAATCCCACTGAGTTCTCCTTCAAGTTCAGATAACAAGCAATTCTATCACTGGAAGTATTGTTCTATGACTGGAAGTATCTCAAATATCTTAGTTCCTACTGATGGCTGAAGTCTTTAGCCTTCAGCCTACTGATGCATAAAGTCTTTAGCCAATCTAATCCAATTTTTTAAATGCTGTCTAAGATTGTAGCTTTCTGGAAGTCACAAAAAAGCATGGGCATAAATTATGAATATGGCTTTCAATATATTTTCCCACACATTCAAATCCAAATATTTTAGGACAGACATATGAATATGCTAGCAGCTAGTTCTTTCAATCCAGTTATCCAACACAAATATTAAAAGATATAGAAAAATGTAACATAAAAACCAACTTTTAAATGTTGGTTCAATTTTTTTGGGAAGGAGGTTTTTCATATTTGAATTTTTCTTTATTTCATCATCATGCTGTTAAAACACTGTTGAACATTCCTATTATTCCACCTGGATAATATTTGACATTGAGGGAATTCTTTTAAAAATAAATTAACAAGAACTGGTAATAGAGTAAAAAAAAGCTAAGAATAAAGGAGCACTGATCATGTAACAGGAGTTACTCTCCAGAGCTTATGTACAAACTACTGTTCTTTGCACACAGTTTACAGAATGTTGCATTTAGTAATATTTGCAGTTTCTACTCCTACTCATAAAACTCAAAATCCTATTGTTGATGTTAAAGTAGTCAGGAAGTATATCATGCACAGTTACACAGGTAATAATTTTCAGTTCAGAAGTATTTTGATCTTTACTTCAATCCAAATGTTACTAAACACAGCACCTGACAGTGAAAATTGTGCCAACCCATTATACTTGCAACCCAGAGAAGCAGTTGTGCAAAGCGAGTTCATTATAGTCCTGTAATTTGAACCCTAAAAGCTTTAATCTAAATAAAAGAGGTAATCAGAACATTTTTCTAGCCTGATCTGATTGCTAATTTTACTTTTCTATTTAGGTGTCGTGACTTACAACCACCACCAGATGACACTGTTCTAGGCGATGATGCCTCTGCAGAGTCATTGTCGTATTACGAATGCAAAACCTTATCAACGAGATAGGAATGAATACCATTCAGCTCAAGGAACAAACAAAACCCAGAGTTTCTTTGTCAGCTGTATAATCCTTCTCTGTACAAAGTACAGGTTGCTCTAAGTAAATTACTGGGTATCAAATTCAAAATTTCTTTACCACATGCTTGAATTCATAGCAAACAGTCCATGCTGTTGATTTATGCATTCATATATTCATCTGGGCAGATAGTGGCCTGAACTCAGTGCAAGTAAAACAGAGGAAAGAGGTTCACTAATTAATTGCATAAAGATGGTGAGTGGCATGAGAGAGAAGTCAGTGAGCGTGTTCAAAATGCACAAGGCTATGGAAAGAGCAAGAGCACTGTCTGAAAATGCTGAAAGGTACCATAAAGGCTGAAATTGTTTATGCTGAGAAGATGAGAGGAATAAAGTCACTTCAGAGAGAAGAAGAAATTATAGGCATCACTGCTCTGCACCTTGGGAGGGAGCAGAACCTCTCTGTTTTAACGGGAAAGTTGAAATCACATTTCATGCCATATACCCGTCTTTCCAAAAGTACAAAGTGCAAGCTCAGCCAGTAAACACAAACTACTAAGAACCACTGCAGTAAGCTGGCTCACTCGAGATATCTTTTTTTATATGAATGGGAATATAAGAGATCTAGAGATTTAAAATTGAGTGGCGTGGTGTGATCTTGCAAGAGTCTGATTTTCCTAAAACAAAAATATTAATTTTATCACTACCTTAAGTGATATTTCCTTTGTGCTTTCTCTAGAGTGTCAGAACCTTTTTTTAAAATTCTATTTTACTTTAATTAATTTAATTATATTTAAAACTCTGAACACCACTGAAAGAGAGCTAATGATGCAATAAACCAGCAACCATTTTTATCAATAGTAATGCAAGTAATGAGTTTGACTTAAAATTACTTCGCATAAGATGGTCATTTGAGTGACCACTTCATCCTTATTTCTGTGAACAAAAAAAAACCCAAACATGCCTCCCTGTGGTATTTTCGGGGTCCCCAGGATGAAGGAGGAATTGATAATTCCTCCAATTGACAATTGATAATTGTCTCTATGTTCTTTGAAGGCTAATTTTTTATTTTATGTTACTTATATTAAAGAATGCTATACTAACAAATAGAGACAGGATACATCAGGCGGCTTAACAAGATACTGATTAAAAATTCATTACTGACTCCTCACAGTCTTGACACAGCTGGATGGTGATTGGTTATTAAGTTAAAACAATTCACATGAAACCAATCAAACAATGACCAGTTGGTAAACAATCTCCAGACCACATTCCAAAGCAGCAAACACAAGAGAAGCAAACAGGTAATTATTGTTTTCATTTTTCTCTGAGGCTTCTCAGCTTCCCAGGAGAAGAAATCCTGGTGAGGAGATTTTTCAGAAAATATGACAGTGACTCCTCTCCCCTTCCATACCCCTGCCCAGACAAATCTATATAGGCAGGGACCTTGATCAAAAAGGAGAAAATAACTTGCTCCTGAAGACAGAGCTGCTTCAGAGCAGAGGACTTGGCTGGTTATGAAGGAAACCTAGGCTCTGTTCCTAGATCTTCCAGTGTCCTGGTCACCCATAGTGGGAAAGCTATTTTGCATCTTTGTGCTCCGTTGGTATTTTTATGAGAAACAGTGATTCTATCCAATTTCCTGCAAACACATTGTTAGTTTTTCTCTTATCTTGCCCAGCTCATGATAGAAAGGTCTGTCTTGGTTTGAAAGACTAAGATATCTGCTAAGGAAGATAGGAGCCTCCCTAGGAATGGAAAATACGACCCCCTTCCCTCCAAATTATTACAATTTTGAAATTAGGGACTTTCAGGCAAAGACATGGGAAAGGGAATAACAGTTCCTTACTAGTCTGTATATGGATAACAAGGCAACAATGGGAGTGACAAACAACCAGAAACCCAGCAACAGCCTTCACTTGGCTGCGGCCCTTTCCCCTGTGGTGCAGTTACAGTCACGGCCGGCAGGGGCGCTGTGGGCTCCCAGCCAGGCAGGGCGGATGCGATGATTCCCCCGCAGCTGCAGGGGGCACTGTGGCCCCGCCTCTCTCCACACGGTAATGGCGGACGCAGCCGGCAGAGAGGGATGGAGAGGTGGCTTCCCTTACATACTCACTCAGCCTGTCCTTCTTCCCCCTCTGGATAGCAAAAGGAGCTGTAGCAGAAACCTCAGAGTGGCAAGCTAGGAAGGCAGGGATGAGCAAAGTTCTGGGGGTAGATGAGATGTATCAGAAGCTCAACAGTTGTAGCTGGAGCTGCGGGGCCTCCCTGCAGGGCAGGGGTGTGAGTTGCAGTGTAGCAAAGAAACCTCCGAGCAGTGGCAAAAACCAGCGGGGGCTGGGCAGTGTCCGCTGGGCTCCTGAACATACCCAGGAGAAAGATGCTCCCTTGGAGGGGGAGGGGGCTCGAGGATCCCGGGTTTTCCCCTGAGGCACCTGAGTGGATGGTGTAATATATGTTGGGAAATAATGCATGCTATAAAATAATGTATTTTATAAAGATTGTGAGATCCAAATGAGTCGCTGACCACAAGCAGCCTGAGAGGCGGACGTCTATTCAAATTCTGAAATTCCTGAAGGCGGCAGAAGAACAATCAACATTTAGCTTATGAATAGACGCACCCAGTGCGACGATCACCACTATCCCGATCCATCGAAGACGCCTAAGAGCAATCATCGCCCTGTTGATAACATCGATCAAGATAGCTCAAGTCGTCAGAAAGATACATCTGAATACGCGACTTCCAGGGATTCGATCAACGCTGGCTATCAACCAGGAAACAGCAATTGTCCACCTCTGCACAGTGAAAGAAACAACTATGAATGTGAAGAGTTATAAAAGAAACTGGGATTCCTCTGCCTCGGGCACAATAAACTGTATAAAACATCCACACTAGAAGGGACTCTTGTGAAAGGGGGAGGGTCCGATGTGATAGAGGTCAGATCCAGGTTCACCCAACACCGAACCCGGACTCAACCGTCTCTTAGGTTGTGGTGGTTTTGAGGACCGTATTTTGGTTGTGAAAAAAGATAAATAAATCTTTTCACATTTTGATAATTCACTTTCAATTGATCGCTTATAACAATGGTGAAAGTCCGTTTCAGTGAGGTGGAGTGTTAATAAGGTCCCAATAAAACAGCTGCTCTAAGGAGCAGAGCTGCACTCACAGTAGAAGGTAGCAGAAGACGGAATCTTGCAATGGTGGTAGATTCTTCCTGCAATGACTGCAGCCTCATTCCCCTCCGAATGCTGAGAGAGCAAGAGGGAGCTAGAAGCTGCCCCAGCCCCTTTTTTCTTAGCACAGTTCTCAAGTATCTCTGCCCCTCCAAGAGAAACTCTCAAATAAGAGGAGTGAAGCCACTTGCCCTTCTCCCCTGAGCTTAGCAACTTCTTTTGTCTCTCTTAAATACCCGCTCATTATTGTCTCCTAGCAGCACATATGGGAGAAAATTCCCTAAGAGAAAAAAACAAAAGGAGGAATCCTAAATCCCAACAAGTTCAAAGGAATGACTGCTTATTTAGTTGCTTTTTAGTTGTTGCGAGATCTACAGCCATAAAACACAACTAGGACTGCTGGGATTTTCTTTATTCTATGATAATATTTTTCCCTAAACACTAACATTAAGAAACAGCAAATTATTTTGCTTAATAATTTCTAGTCAGCAGGGGTAAGAATTCATGCAAAGATCTTGAGACACTGATTTGGGAAGAGCTAAAAAATCTCCTAATATGTATGATTCCTTTAGCTAAAATACAGAACATCTAAAACCACATCACTGGAGATGCTGCACCAAGCAGAAAAGAGCTGAGAAAAGTCACTAAGTTATAGCATAATAGATTTTTAAAGAAATGTACTGAATAACATTTGCCACCATCAAAATAAGCAGCTATTTTAAGGAGAATCAGAAAGTATTTTTCCCACTTACAGTACTGTATAATTTGATCAGTCATTAAGGAAAATGCTCACTTTCCTTCTATGGCATCAAATTTATGAAACTTGTGAGACATGACTAATCACTTCAAAAATTTGAAAAGTTTATTAAACCTTAACAAAAATACAACACAAGGACTCAATAAGGAAAAACAGGCCTGGAACCTGCCCTCATAGCTGTACACCATGTGGCTGGCTCATCTTCAAGATGGATGGTCAGACTTTTATATTCCTGGGGGTTGCATCAGCCAGCCCTGGCCCCTCCCAAAGTCTGTCAGTCAGCTCTTCTTTGCCATTTAGCAGTGGAAACTACTTTCTTGTAACTTGATTGGAGATCAGGCGTTGCCACCTTTAGCACCAAGGTTTTCCATTCCCACCTGCCCCAGGTAAGGGACACCTGTGCACACCTTCTCTCTACCTGTCCTAGGCAGCCCCAGCTGTCTGATGGCAACAATACAGGAGGGGGAAAAGGGAACTATGGGGAGAACAGAGGACATCTAAACTACAGTAACATAACTATACCTCAATAAAGCTTCTCTTAATATTCACACGTTATTCATCCCTTAATTGCAAGAGCCAATCATCTCTTTATCCATCTATTATAAACTGATGTATGCAGAACACAGAAAATTACAATATAGGAATAAATTAGAATACTTCTCTGAATCACAGTTTCTGGAATCTATGAAACAGAATTGTTACAGTCTAGTTTTTTAGGTTATTAGAAATGCTTCTGCCTGAATTAAGGTGCAAATGAGACCGTTTGCCAAAGTTAATAGTATTAATTTTATTTAATAGTAAATATGAGAGAGAGAGAGAGAAAGAAAAGGAAGATAAAAAAGTAGAAAAGAGGTGGGGGACAGAAAGAGAGACATTAAAGAAAATATCACCACTATGACAGTGATGGAGAGAGATGGAGACTGGCTCAGTGATCAGAATCCGATTTTATTGTGGGATACAAGTGCTTAGATACTATTTCAGGGAGACTAGTAATGTGTACTACAATGATTAGGTTAAAATCACATACACAAAGTTATGCATTTAAAAACATTGCTTGCTTGCAGAGCTTAATGGGATTTTCTTTCTCCGGAAAACCTGTCTGATTGAATCTTCTTGCAATCCAGGTCTAATTTTCAAAGTTCTGTTTGCTTTTGCCAAGGCATCCTGTTATCAAATCTCGTATGTTAACCAGGCCCAAAGTCCACTGTCCTTCTTGTGTCCCAATATCCCAATACTCCATGGATCCCAACCATATTCTGTTGATCCTCTCCAGCTGGTCTTCTGGGGTGTGAGTGTCCCCCCTGCCAAAAAGGATAGAATCCAGTGAATTAGTATATGCTCGGCCTGGGTGGGAACTCCCAGCTACCTCCCCTGGGGGGAATGCAGTTTGACAGAGTCTCTTGCAGCAGATTCTGGGTTGGTTGCATTCCTCTGCATCACATGCAATGCTGTGGTGCATGACCTCAGAAATAAGTCAGGGGAGCACCTTGGGTGGTCTTTGATGGATTATGACCCCTCCTCAGTTGCCTGTCGCATCAATGTCCTGTGGATGTGGCCTGTGGGGCTGGGGGTTTCACAGCTGGGCTGGTTTGTGTACAGGAAGATGGATGATCAGCACCTCTGACCAGATTTTACGCCCTACTGCAAAGCCTCTTCCTCTCTCCTCAGCTGGGAGAAGTCTGTGTAAGCCTGGTCTCTGGGGGCTGTGATATCCTCACACCAAACCCAGCCAGGGATGATTTTCTGCTAAATTTGGCTTTCTTGTGGATGCATTCCTTTCCTTCAGCCTTATTTTTTTTCTCCCTATACCTGAGATGATTGAACAATAGCATCCTGTGAAAAATGCATATTTTATGATTGGCTTTTCACAAATATTAAAATTAATATTATATGTGTTATGTTAGAAAGTTATGCTGTGTAAATTTTCTTTGCTGAGATAAATATAGTTTTAGGTTATAACATAATGTTAAAATAGAAATTATACTATATAAGATGCTTTTTTTAAAAGAGGACTCACACCTAGGTAGTAGCCACAGGACACCTAAATCTTTCAGAGAAAAAGAATTTATGGCTCCCTTATCAGAAGAAACTAACTTCCCGCTTCTCTCAGCCCTGAAGATGCCGTTAAGATTCAGAGGAAGAAATTGACACTGACCAGACAGAATCCTGTGTTTGAATGGAATTTATGCGTCATGTATGAGGTGTATTGAATATGGAACAAGCTCTTGCTTTTAAGGGACACACTCTGTTAATGTGTGTCCTTTTTCTGGGTTATTTTACCCAGAAAGATGTACCCAGACTGTCCGTAGCTCTTTGTTTTTATTGTCTCATATAGTCCTAAATCCTAA